AATGGGGCCCGGGTGCCCGCGTCAGACAGCCGCCGCAGTGGGGTCGGTCCTCCTTGTGAAGAAATATCATTGCCCGTGGGAAGCCCCGTAGGATGCTGCTCGCCCTGGAGCCGGATAGGTGGAAGCCTTGGCCGCCCATCTGGACGTGGCGGAAATCCAGAGCCGTTCTCGTGATTGCGTGCTAGATTCCCAGGCGTTAGGAACGGCAAGCGGAGTAAGGCATCCAGTCCAGTTCCTGGATTACCTGGCTGATCGCTGCTAGGCCCGTTCCCAGAGGGGACCGATCGTACACCAACCACTACGAGAGTAACAGTACGTCCTTCAGGTCCATCAGTAGGGTTGTCCACATCCATCCCGCCGCCGTTGTTATCGGTGTTCTCAGCGTTTGCCGTTGGACGATTCAATGGACCGCCGGGTCGAGTACCATCTGAATTGGCAAAGCGGAAGACTCTCAGGAAGTTAACCGGGGTCGGAGGACCGTTGTCGCCTGCCGCACTCTCTCCTTCGTTGGGGGCCGTCTGGGTGGACGTGGCATGCTGTAAGCTCTGTATGAAATTATCCAACGAACCATCAAGGCCATCATTACCCAGAGCCTGAATGTTGGGCATAACTGGACCAGCTGTACCAGAGAGCTGAGCGGCAATGGCGGCAGCGGCCAGTTGAAGGACACGCGACAAAGGCGTCTGTTCCTCTCGACGCATGGCTCGAGACGGTCTTGCTCGCAGCAATCCCGGGAGTTGCCGTAAGCCAGGTGGGCCTTGTGTAGACTGCGATGACATAGGCGAGGTGGGACGGGTACTGCCTACAGCAGGTTCTACCGAATCAAGCTCATGGGGCTCATCAAAGTCCATCTGGCTATCCATTGACCTTGAATAAGGAAGAAATCCGTCGGCGTCCTCACTAGAGACTGGGTCCAGGGGTGGTTGTGGGATCGGTCCTGATTCTTGGGCGGATGCGTTCGGGAACGATTGGCCGAACATGTGGCCAATTGGCCCTGACAGTGAGTTTCGGACACGATGCAGCCGAGCACTGCGGCGCCACGAGCTTCGCGTAGGTTCTGGGGTGATCTCTGTGGTAGGGTCGAGGAATGAGCCGGAACGAGCGGGATCTGACGAGTGAGTTGGATCATTGCGGGGGATGAAGTACGGCCCACGTAAGGAGCGTCGCCTAGAGACGCTTCTCGAGCTGAGGGAATTGAATGGGCTAAAACGCGCGCTGCTATGCGTGGCTTCCGATCTTGGAATCGTCCTTGACACGATACCGTGGCGATGGGCGTGACCTTCTGCTGGTGTTTCTTCTTCGCTGCTTAGCAACCCACGGATCACCGAATTAGGAAGGATCCTAGAACCCAATCGCGACATGGTTGACTGTCTTCTGGCAGCCATTCGGGCAAATATATCCGATCGATATTCCCGCTGGCCTGGCTCATATTGCGGGTCGTTCTCCTCTTGTATTGTTCTCATATGTCGTTGTTCATCACCTGAAAGGTTGGGATGCCATATCTCGGCAGAAGGATCCGGATGAGCGGGGGCTCCTGAAGTTGTTGGAGTGTTGTCATGGTCTGTCTCTGTTCCCGACCGGGGCCGGTAGTCCCCAGTCTGCTCCGTGTTGTAGCTGTTATTCATTGCTTCATCCCTATTTCTGCGGACACGGATCGCGTGGAATGTAGGAAAGTGTTCTGGAGGGGTACTGTGACGACGATTTCGTTGTGTAGAGGAAGACTGTCCCATAGTAACAATAACGCAAGGACGTGGCGATGGGAGTCTATAAGCCGCCTATTGCCATCGAAAGGTGGATGACTAAAGGTGCAACCAGCATTAGTAAGATGGCAGACACAGCAGTGACTCACTTCAGGCACGGTCCGATGGGCAGAAGTGAAGGCAGGGAAATTGCGACCAAGAACAGATGGTGAAGTGGTGGCCGATAAGACAGCTCTTGCAGGCAATACACTCAGACAACGCCACTAAGAAGGGTCCCGACTCCTGAGGACCCTGGAATTGGCCCTGATAGTTTCAGGCAGAACGTACCATTGGGCAGTCTTCAGTGAAATGACATAAATTCAATTCTTGTGCGAAATTATTGTTCTCGATTTGCAATTCAAGGTCCAGATGTGTTACTGCAGGCGGGCGTTGGGAAGTGAACGTGCCTGATCGCACCGTGTGGTAGGCCGTTCGGAGTCCAGGCGGCTGCGAACGAGCGTTGGGCAAAAGGCGGAAACTGGGAGGTCGGCAGAGTGAAGAGAAGTAATTTCCCCGGCTAAGAAGATCCTAAAAGGCGTAGAAAACTATCTGAAGGCCAGCCAGCAGGTGCCGATTCCTTTTAAAGGGAGCCACAAAGGGAAGGACGTGTGGTGGGATTAAACGCCGTACGACATTCGGGGGGAGCGACCCCACGACTTAACCGGAGGCTACCGTAGTTGTTGCAGCTTAGAGACGGGTAAGTATGGGAGGTGTTGGCGAGACAGTTGTCCAGCAGTTGAACATGAATGCCAGGGTGAAAGAGAGATCAAGAAGTGCGAGAAGCCCTGGGGGCCTCTGAGAGATGATGGAGCACGAAGGGAGCGCCCCGAGGATGAGGAGGATGACGATGATGGAGAGGAGATGATGAATGATAACAGTTGGTTTCGGTTTGGCTGCTGGTCGGGCGGTTTTGGTTTTGGTTTCGGCTTGGCTTCGTTTTGCTTACTTGACCTACAGTCCGTCCCATCTCGGCCTAGTCCCTTCACGGGAGGTCTTACACAGTAGCTTCTGATTGGTCTTAATCTTTAAGGCGATCTTGCCCGTGACTCCAACTGTCCCTGAAACGGTTTAGTGGCCCGGCGGTTTCGGCGGTTTCGCCCTCCTGGATCCGATCTAGTGTTGTCTACTAATGGACTAGCGCCCAACGTGTTCAAGGCGGCATGATTTGTGGCACTGCTGATTGGACAAGAAGTCTGAAATCATTTGCCTCAGGTGTCTTTCTGCATCTGCTCCCATTTTTGGACTTCTTTGAACATGTACTGCGGACCTTCTTTACTTCCGACCCTATCCATTCTTTTCGATCGATGATCGTCGGTGATACAGATTAGTGATGGAGTATTTGTGGACGTCATTCCTATTAACAAGACATTGAATACTCTCAAGCCACTCGTCCCCATCATTTTTCATGCGGTGATCCTTGCTGTCAAGGCCCACGGGACCTCCCCGTACCTCAATAGTCCTCCTCTTCTGGAATAGGCCGTCGGCATTATTATCATCCGTGTCTCTATGGCATCTGTTCCTGCAGCAGCGGTCTTTTCTTTGCCTCTCGCCCCATGGCAACAACCTGCCAGTGTGCGCGTAGCTCAGTACGAGCCTAGGAAGCGCAAGAAGGATTTCTCCGACTGGGGGGACGATGATGACGATGTTGATGGCGACACAACAGATGCGGCATCAGAGACAGCTCCTGGTCCATCACTCACCCTCTCCCCAGATGAAGCCCATCAATATCGCATTGCTGGCCTTGCCTTCGACCAAGAATTACCTGGAGGCAATTTCCCACATGCCCCGGTTAAAGATCAACCGACCCGTCGGCAAACACGAAACCAAGTCCTGAAAGAGTTGACTTCGTTGCCATCTCCAATCTATCCTCCTCAGTCTGCAGCCCATCAAGGGAATCTACGTCTTCAGCATCTGGCCGTGCTATCTTCCATTTTGCACCGTTGCCTCCTGCAGAAAGACTTCGTTCGAGCGGGCAGGGCGTGGGGGTTAATCCTCCGTGAAGAAATTGGGGGCATCCCAATTGACGTCCGCACTGAAGGGAGATGGGGCATTGGTGCAGAAATTTTGCTCCGACGTGACTGCCAGGTCTCGGACATGTCTCCTGATAAAGCACAGGAACGTGATGCAGAGCCGTCTGAGGCACCGCCTTCCAAACTCTTATTCACAAGGCAGGGTTTTGAAAAGGCCAAGCAGTATTACGAAACCCTCATCATTCAGCACCCATACCGAAAAGCGGCACCTGATGCTATAAGCTCACTACACTTTTATCCTGCCATGTTTGGACTTTGGGTGTATGTCACCCAAGAGGAGAGCAATGTTTCTCGACAGAAAATCTGGGACGCCCATGGTGCGTCCCCTGACGATTCGGAAGAAGAAGATTCTGCGCTCGATATGCAACACCATGATGGCACCCGACAGAAGACGCATGCGCTGATTGCCAGTGTTAGGAAGAGTGAGCTGGAACAGGCTCAGAAGATTGCAGCCAGGATGGACGAGATTCTCGGATCGCCCCCATACTCCGACTCTCCTGAGTTACTGGAGCTCCGCGGAATGATCTCTCTCTGGATTGCTGATCTTTTTGTCTCATCACTGCCATATGGGCGAGCAGAGAGAGATATGGACGATTATGATTCCGATGAGACCGGTTCATCATCCGCCGAAGATCTTCAAGACTCGCTTCAAGAGCGGCGAGAGCGCCGACTTGCAGTTGAGAGGAAGGAATACGAGGTACAGAAGTCGCAGGATTATTTTGCGAAGGCCAAACAGCGTGGCAAAGGGGTCACCTCTACGTTTGGAGACCTGCATATAGATGATGATGATGCTTCATTCGGGTATGCGGATTAACGAGAAATGATCAAAGATATGTATGGATGTATTTTACCAACACAACTATAAATAACTGTAAAATCAGATAATGATATAAACAAAGTATTCATAATCTATAAACTTCCCTCTCATCTCTCAGCTCATTTGTAAGAAGCTAGATAAAACTGGCAGTATTGATGCCCATCGGTCACACGTGACCTCGTGTGGATGCCTCGCGCGTGCCTGAAGAATCAACGCGTTAGCCGATTTCGACCTCCTCTCAGAGCCATCGATTCAATAACCTCACAACCATGATCGGACCCACACATTCTAGATAACAATTGTAAATTGCAAGTCAATCACAATCATTCCGGCATATCCATCGGCCCTTTCCCCACTTGCTCCTTGTTGAATACTACCCTTCCATCTCCTCACCCCGCTCAGACTCGGGTAACCATGGGAGTGGGCGATTATGTGCACTCAAAAGAGGCTGGCCAGCCTCGACCACGCACAACTGAAGCATCAAACCAGTCACGGCAGGCTCTAGCCGCACAAGCAAGGGTTGACGTCCCTCCAACAAATCTGGTGGCGCCAGTGCCCCTGCCAATCAACAAATCAATTCCCCTGGAGCATTATTCAACACCGGCATTTAGCGAGCAGATGCCTCAGGCGCCCGCGGAAAATGGCGTGCATAGAGACATGTTTGACACCGATGTGGAAGGCATCGACGACTCGACTATTGCTGCGACAAGTGTCATGGGTGCAGAGGATGCTCCACTTCAATTCCAATTACGACCCGCCACAGTTCCTCAATATCAGGAGGCAGCGCCAGTAGCGGATGAGAGGCCACTGCATCCGTCTCGATTGCCACGCCGTGCTTACGATGGCAAGTGGTACGAGAATCTTGGAGACAGCGCTATGAAAACAGCTGGTTTCGACTCAGAAGATGCCGATGATGCAAGTCAATTGACCTCCATGGCCGGAGACGATGAACGATCTGATACAACTGAGGACGGGAACTACGCCCGCAGATACAGATCCTCCACCGAGGAACCATTAAGCAAACGACTACAGAGCTTTTGGACCGCCAGCAGGAGATCTTATCAAAATCCAGAACCACAAGCATACCCCGAACCATCAAAGACTGCTGCTCCTCCTCCTCTGCGGCAATCCACATCCGACGCCAGATTATCAAAGCAGGCTCTACCCAACAGGAAAGTCACACTGCCACGCAGTATGACAGCAACTCCACGGACACGATTCAGTCCACCCAAGCCATCTCTTTTAGAACAACTGGACATAACCCCAACTCGTCGAACCTCAGGACCTCGACCCCAACCCGGCAAAGAACCAGGAATCACCAGCACTACCAACCACCACCAGCACCACCAGCGCCACAACTCCGACGACAACCACCTCTTCAACACCAGCCGCGACAGCCTACCACCCCTAACCACCTTCGACATGACCAACATCGACGACCTAGACGTCGACGACGATGACCACGACCCAATCAACGACCCCTTCGCCCGCCGCAACTCCGTCCAACGCATCGTCTCAGACGACCCCGACTTCCAACCCACCAAGAGCACCATCACCATCGGCACCACCAGCACCAAAAACAAAAAACGAAACCTCGAATCCGACTACCCGCCCGAAATTCTGCGCCAAAAATCCTTCAAGGACCTCCAATCCGAACCCTTCGACCACACCCCAACCGCACCCGCCAAATCCACCCCGACCACCACACCAGCCCCCAACCCAGGCCCCAACGCCACCTCGGACGAGAAAATAGATTTCTTACTAAATTCCGAAGACAAAGACCGCCGCGACTTCTTCTCCACGCTCACGATGAACGAATGGGAAGATTACGGCGATCTCCTAATTGACCAATTCAGCGACGCACTTTCCAAGATGAAAGATCTCCGCCATGCAAGACGGAAAACGGCCGCGTTGTTTGAGGCCGAAATTGCGAGGAGGAATGAGGTTGTTGAGGAGCAGTCGGCTGATTTGACGAGGAAGTTGGAGGAGATGAGGAGTGGAGGGGCGGAGGTGTTGAGGGGGAGGACGCCTTGATTTGATTCCAATTGATTTGATATATGATATAGGTGGGTGGAGTTGACTTGCATATATTTAATGGCCTTCTCGGCGAAGGATGTACTCGCTTGTGTTGATTCTATTTCTATGTTTTTATTGGGGTTGTTGCATGTGCTTGCATGGGCTGGAGAATGCACTTTATCGCCACCATTTCTTCTATTATGGTTTTCATTCATTGTTATAGGGCTCAGACTGTATTTGTTTGCTGTTGTTTCTCGGGATATTCAAGGTTTTATGATAGAGCTTACGCGAGGATGACCACCTTTCTTACTATACCATGTTTCAATTACTGCTTTGTTATGTATGGTCTTTGCTGAACAATCCTCATATCACCATCATCAATTAGCAATAGCATTATACCCCACACCTATACTCCCCCCAGCTCATAGCTTGAAGTAAAATCTGCATTTGATTAAACACTAGCACTGCTAGCTACGCCTTTGACCCAAATGGCTGCAAATGCAAGACCTGACTGAACCTAGACACTTGAAAACACTGAACACCAGCAGTGGTCTACAATCTCAATGATATAACACACACATAAACACAGAACGCGGAATCGCCATGGAGAAGAAATGGATACAACGAAGAGGGAGATAGTATGAACAACCATGTGGGAATCATATGCTTTAGGAAAAGAAATCGGAGAGGAAGGAATTCAGTCAAGTTTAGTGGTTCTGTTTCGATAGCGCTGCTGCAAGGCGCTTGTAGTCATCCAGCAAAACAGATACATCAGCGATGGTAAGCTCGTTGGCGTTTTGCATCTGGAGGAAACGTTGAATAGGTGGGTCCACCCGCTCTACACGGGATGGAGCGCTGGGCACGCTCGATGAGGAAGTCTCGCGGGAGAGGATCGAGGCTCTGATTCTTTCTGTGGGAGTGTTGGGCGATGGCATTGAGCCAGGAGTGTCAGGAGTTCCAGGGGCACCACGTCCGAAGTTGCGGATCATACCGGGGATGTGGTTGAGTGGGTTGAGGGTGTTTCCAAAGTTCCGCACCGATTCAAGCGGTGTAGGCGGTTGCGTAGTTGCGCTTGCTGGGGAAGCCTGGGACTCTTCCTTCTGCGGGCCTTGGGAGACAGTTGTTTTCCTGGAGCTTCCCTGAGTCCGAACACTCTCGACACTCCGGTCACGTGGTGTTCGCTGACCGCTGACCAGCCCTAGGAATGTATCCTCCGCCTTCGAACCGATGCGCCTTAATTGCGGGCGATCAACCGGACGAGACTCTCTTCTGGCATTCTCGTCCTGGTTCAGGCTAGGTTCCGTAGATATAGGATTGTTGACCAGACGTCGAGCATCTGCCAAGGTCTTGGGCAGTACCGGATTCCCATCTTTGACAGGGAACTGATTGGACTGCAACTCTTTGAGGCGGCCAAACAAGAAGTTAAAGCTGCTGTCTAAGGATGCTCCAATGTTCTTGAGGCCCTGGTCGGCAGTGTTACGAACAGCATCGTTCGCAGCGCCGAGCACCTTGGCAGGGGGCTGGAAGAGGTTGTTCAGCCGCCGTTGTTGGGTGCTTGCCGATGACTGAGGTCTGGGCAAGCTATCGGACGCTTCTTGTCCAACTGGCTTAGAGAGTTCAGGTGAGGCTGTCACTGGTGTAACCGACGATACTGCTGCTTCCTTGGTGGCAGTAGGAGACGGGAGAGAGTCGACCTTTCCGGCCGCAGTTGAATCATCATTGGATGCCTTGGTCTGGCCTTCAAAGGCTTCCTCGCCACGCAATTCGGACAGATCTACATTCTCAAGAAAGCTAATAGCCGCTTCCAGGTTAGTCAAGCAATATGCGGTTTCACCGTCTATCTTATTGGACGACCTAAACCGCTGGATGAATTGTAGGTTGCTTATAACGTTGATCCCCTCAGGAGGGCAAGTGATCAAGGAATAGATCAGGGTAGGTAAGATCTCGTCAGCGGAAGAGGATGATGGCAGGAGCTTAGTCAAGGCATCAACTATGGCCTTGTGCGCGGCGGCAAGCTGTTGAAGTTTGCCCAAAGGATACTTGTCATCGTTCATCTTTGCCAAGCAGTCTCGCGCAGCAGAAAGACATTCATCCGCTTCTTTTTGCTTGTCTTCATCGATAGCACTCAGGTCGATCTCGACACCGAGATCCTTCAGATTAATGCCAACTACAGAGAGAGCCGCTGTCTTTGAGCGCAGTTTCTCGTCTCTGATTTCATCCAATGTACTTTTATGTCTCCATAGCTTGTCGTAGATAGTCTCACAAGCTCTCCGTTCCACAGCTTCTTCCAAGGCAACACGCTTGGTTGCAAGATGCTTTCGCGCAATCCTCCTTTCAGTGACTTCTGATGCTGTCAACATCTGGCGGCCATCTGAACCTGTATTACTAGACTTGCCCTGCGCGGCACGGTACGGAGAAGGGTCACGGTTTATCCGGGAAGCAAGAGTAGAGATATGAGTAGCTATGTGTGATTCGGCTCGGACGTAGAATTCTTGGAACCGACTCGATACTTTCTCGATTGTGGGAGGAGAGGAGTGTACCTTGGCAGTAAGAGAGTGGACAAATCTGCCAGTAATAACATCAGCATCACATCAACGTGTAGGGAGAGTAGAGGCCCGACTGTACCTGTCTGTCATACTTGCGAGCTCTATTGGAAGTTCCTCCGTGTGACCCAAGCTACCTCGAGAGAGCACCGAGGTCTCCTCACTCTGCTGCGCATCGTCGCCGTAGCCTAAGTCGGCAGAGCCTGATTTCTCGAACAGGTCAGGGCTGCTATTCCGGTCCTCCTCGGCCGTGGACAAGGGTAACGGGAGTGTCTCGGCGTCTACCGACTCTGGTATTGCCACGGACTGAACAGTCTTGGCTCTGGAACGAACGAAAGGGCTCGTCTCGGGAGCGTCCATCCTTGGGAACGAGCGGGCCGTGTGTAGGCGCGGCTTTGCAGCGCCATCGTCGGCAGAATTGGCAGACATGGTTGTATTAAAAAGGATGACAACGGGGTATCAGTCCGACAAGTGTTGGGCTTTCAGCTGCTCATATGATCGGTTCATACGAATGCAGCAGTTGGGGCCGGTGGGTATAGATGACACCTGGAACTTTAATCTGGTAACCCCAACCGAACGGACGGGTCAGGGGGAGAGGGCAAGAACTAGATCTGGGTGGGATTAGTTGTCCAAACCACACATCATGAGCAAACTGCCTCGCAGGCCAGGTATCAAAAGACGTCAGACCTCCAAGAAGAGGAGAGGAAAGTCAACAATCAATAGTGGCTCATGATTGCGCGGCGGAGTAAGCGTCGGCGAAACCCAAAAGCGGCGGACGTCACGCGCCAATCACGTGTGGCAGTCACGCTTTCTCCGCAATCGGGATTCCCGATGCGGCCTGTCACGATAAGTGATCTTCGCCTAGCTTGGAGTCTGTTCTGGATGCATTCCTACCGAGTGAACATGCGAAGGAGTTCGAGTTCAGTTCAAAGAGAAAATGTATCAATTACGCACCTATCTTACTACTCGTTTACATTCGTGGCTATGTCAAACAAGCATGACTAAATGAAGCGTCAATTGAGTAAATAGGTATCATAGCTATCTAACAATCATCATTCTATGATGACTAGCACGTGGACTAAAGAACAAGGTAAATAAGATCAAGGGTAAGATACTATATTTTACAGACGAGAAGACTTGGAGTGGTCAGCCTTGGCCTCAGTAGCCTTCTCGATGCGGGCACCCAGATCGGGGTTCACACGATGGAACATGCCGTAGGTGGCCTTGCGAACACGCTCGTGGGCGGCGCACAAGTGAGAGGAAACGTTGTGGACAAAGTTGTCCTGCTGGCCGGGCTGGCGACCCAAGACCTGCCAAAGGCCGTTGGCCTGCACATAGTCCTCATCGGTGACGGGCAGCTGCTCAACAACGACGGAACCGGCCCACTTCTCGTGCTCCTGACTAGCCTTCACGGGCTGGTAGTTGTAAGGACGGAAGGTGGAGGGATAGTTGGGGTTGGCTCCGTAGTTGCCGTGCACGTTCATGTAACCATCACGGTGCCAGGGGCTGAACGAGCGGAGCGGGCAGTTGACGGGGATCTGCTCGTAGTTGCCGCTCAGACGGTGGCGCTGGGTGTCAGGGTAGGAGAAGAGGCGGGACTGCAAGACAGGGTCGGCAGAGGGCTCCACGCCCGGCACCATGTGCGAGGGGGAGAAGGCGGCCTGCTCAACCTCGGCGAAATAGTTCTCGGGGTTCTTGTTCAAAGTGAGCTTGCCGAAGCGGCGCAGAGGAACCTCGCTCTGAGGCCAGACCTTAGTCAGGTCAAAGACGCTCCAGCGGAACTTCTCGGCCTGCTCGGGGCTCAGGACCTGGACGTAGCAAGTCCATGAGGGGTTCTCGCCACGCGAGATAGCGTCGAACAGGTCCTGGGTGTGCCAGTCGGGGTTTTCAGCCGCCAGGCGAGTGGCCTCCTCGTTGTTGAAGGTCTTATTGCCCTGGTCAGTCTTCAGGTGGATCTGGACGTAGTTGAAGGTGCCGTCGGGCTTGATCCACTTGTAGGTGTGACCGGAGTAGCCGTTCATGTGGCGGTAAGAGTAAGGCGTTCCACGGTCACTGAAGAGGTGCATGACCTGGTGAACGGCTTCTTGGTGGGTGGAAAGGTAGTCCCAGAACATGGTGGCATCCTTGAGGTTGGTCTGGGGGTTGCGCTTCTGGGTGTGAATGAAAATGGGGAACTTGGCGGGATCACGGAGGAAGAAGACGGGGGTGTTGTTGAAGACCCAGTCCCAATTGCCCTCTTCAGTGTAGAACTTGATAGCGAAGCCACGGGGATCACGCGCGCTGTCCGCAGAGCCCTTCTCACCACCGACGGTGGAGAAGCGAGTGAACAGCTTGGTCTTCTTGCCAATGCCCTTGAGCATGTCGATGACGGTGATGTCGCTGATGTCATCGGTGACCTCAAACTCACCAAAGGCGCCAGCACCCTTGGCGTGGACAACACGCTCCGGAATTCTCTCTCTGTCGAAGTGTGCGAGGAGGTCGATCAGGTGGAAGTCCTGAAGCAGAAGGGGCCCGTTGCGGCCAACGCGCTGGGCAGCCTGGGGGTCCATAACCTGAGATGTGTCAGTATGTTATCCGTAAGTGGACCATATGATGTCGGTGCAGCATACTGGGCAGCCATTGGAGGTAGTGTAGATGGGCTTCTCATTGTAGCGGTAGGTCTCTATAGGACAGACCTGAGTTAGTCTTTCCTCTGTTACGCTTCAAAAGGATTAAAAGGCAGGAAAGTATAAACATACTGGGTTGGTCGTCCTTGCCCATGGTGACGGTTTGTGATGTGAGCTAATTCAGAGTAATGCAAGAGGAACGAATTGAAGATTGCGACAAGCCGGGGAGAGGAAGATGTGGTCCGGCGGGCTAATATAGCTGAATGCGGGGTTTAAGTAGATTGGAGAGCTAGCAGTGGTTCGTTGATGGGGACAAGGAAGTCCTTGGGAGGAATGCGGGGAGTAAGAAAGGCCACGAAATGAGGTCCCAATGAAGGAAGAAGTAATTGCAAGAACTGAAGCAGCAGCGGCAAGGGAAGAAGAGATTATAAGGAAAAGAGCAGACGATCCATTGAAAGATTTGAAGGCGGGTGGCTCGTCGCCGAGGGAGGCAGATGGGGAACCCCGTGCAGCAACAGCCAATGATGAGGCCGGGGAAGGTCAACGCGGTGGTTCCACGGAATCGCCTGCCTCGATCAGTCCCGCTGCCCGTCCGATTTCCCGCCGGTTCAGGTACTATGACTTATGCCATTGACCTGATCAATTGATAGTTGAGCTCACCTATAGAACCCTATATTGGCCTGAAGCTATCCCAATGCTTCTGGGCAGCAATGAAAGAGACTCAAAGATTCATTTGCACATTAACCTTTCTCGGAAGCACGAAACAAACAAAATCACCCAAAAGGAGCTTTCCGATACGCTAATTTACCCCGCACAGTTGCAGCCAATTCCTCCAGGGGTGTCCACCAATCAGCACCATCTCGATGTCAGAGTGTCGACCAAGTCTAGATTTCCCCGCGTTATTTCCACTGAAGGGGAATTGACTATATTATCTATATTGAGGACGATGTGGAGGATGACTCTGTTCTAGATAGTTCACTAATATAAGTGGTGTGGTGTGGACGGAGATCCTTAACACGTAACCACCTAGACGAGCACTGAAACGGCCCGAGGTGGGCATGCAAAGCTCCCGGGAGTCTACAAAATGCGCTAAAAATCGAGGTTAGTTTATCCGCTAGTGATTTAGTTGGCTGTTGTGGTCTGATAAAGTGATAATCAATCTTAGTCAACGGACCTGGCCAGAAGTTTCCTACCTTTCTGCAGCCCGCCAGCCCTGCAGGCACTAATACTCAGTACTAATGGTTGGCCGTCTGGACCTTCCGCGATCCCCATCGTAGAAATCCTATCCGGGCGTATTTCTTGCCTCATTGGGAAAGTGGCTGACTTTGCTGCTTCTCTACAAGAGGAAGGCAATCCTGTTTGACCTTCCTAATCAGGTGATGTGATACTTCGAGCTGTTGTTCGTTCGCTGCTACCTAAAATAGTTATTAAAATGAGATCTTCATGACAAAGATAGCTAGCTGGATGAACGGTATATGATCAAAGGGAGTAAAGTGATGATGTCTCGATCGCGATAAAGATATCCCCCACATTCCTTGAAACACAAGTTTCCCTGTATAATTCTCTCCGCTCAGGTCCTTTCCATTCGCTACTGTGCGATATTCATGAATACAATTGGCCGAGGTAACGATTTGTCTGTCTCCAGCACCAATTGCGGCTATGATTGTCGGCTTGTCAGGTCAATTTGATGATCACCCGATTCCTTGACATTATTGCGAAAGTTCTTTCTCTACCGACAGCTACGTCAGATTCAACGGGGAGTTCCCCGCGGAAAGCTCCGCCCTCCGAAGCAGAGCGAGATTCTCCTAGTGGAATAGGAAGCCGAGCAGCAGATGCCTCGGAACACCCGCCCGCTCGGTTCCGATCGCGTTCATGCGAGTTTCTAGTTTACGCTTCATGCTTTGAGTTTTACTCATCCTCAGAAAGTCAATTTGTCCTGCAAACACGCAATTCATATAGATACAGTCGAATCAGTCATTAAGCCATACCCGTTTGAGCGAGAAAACAATTAACATCCGTCAAGCCCATTACATAGCAGATTCATCAAGTCATGTCATATCCAACCGGATCTCGCCGTCACCTTTACTTCCGATCAGCATTCGCACCGGATCTGTCGCCATTGATGCTGCTAAGAATGTCTCCAGTCGACTGTCCGACGCCCCGGGTTGTGTTGCCCAGGCCTTCAGTGGCACCGCCAACAGTCTTTCCAAGACCCTGAGTCGCACCGCCGGCAGTCTGACCGAGTCCTCCCACAGTGTTTCCCACAGTGTCTCCGAGTCCTCCTACAGTGCTTCCGACAGTGTCTCCGAGTCCGCCCACGGTCTTTCCTAGGGTATCGCCGACGCCTCCAAGGAGGTTCGCTATATACTTACGCATTAGCAACAGGTGTGTAATGGTATCGAGGGATTATGGGATTTGGTACCCAGGGGTGCGAGAACTTCATAACGCGACCGACTAGTTAAGTCAAAGCACAAACAAGGGAGAATATAACATAGGAACAGTAGGTGCGAGGGTCGATGGTCACTTACGGTTGTTGTTGTTATCGTTGCCAGAAGACATGACGTCGATATCGCGGCAGCAAAGCTATTTCAGTGAGGAAGTTCTTGGAGGAAGGAGAAAATATTTGAATGGAAGGTATGATTCTTAACCAGACTGACGATGCAGTATAGATCGAGATAATCGCCAAATGTTGTGATAGCTGTTCTTTTTATATACCAAGGTACATAGCACATGTATCCAATATCGAAAAGTCGCCACGGGACGCTCCATCCCCCTATGATATCATCGTGTTCTGAAACCAAGATGGTACCACAACCCGCAGCCAATAACTTCGGGCAATCGAAGATCTGATGGCTGCGCCTGATGACGCTCGTCCGCAACATGATGAAATAAGGCCCTGGCCGTTATGACAGTGGCGCGACGACCCCTACCTGCGATACTGGTTGTGGTGCTTATTGGTCCCCACAGACATCCGCATACGTAGGGAATGTGCGAGTAAATATGGTACTATAGCAGCACGAGACCACATCTTTCTAACCAGATAGAGGGTTTAGGCAGCGACGGGAATCATCTTCCTAGCCAACCTGTACTGTTAGACACATTTGCGCAACAACTATCAACCAAGCAGATTGATTTGGGCAGTTGCAGTATTGGGACTCATCCCTTTACTTTGGTCCACTACTCCACGCCGGTCGGGATGGCTAGTATTAATGACCAGTGACTACCAGTAGGAAAGGTGCCCGTCAGCTCGTCGATAGGAACGGGCTTAGGTTCTAGTACGATCCACCTGAATTCACATTGCACAACATAGCCGCCATCCACTTGTAACTCACGGACGAACAGAAAAAGGCCCCCAGTATCAACATGAATCAAATAACACCTTGTTTCCTCGCTCATAATGAACTCACACCAACTTCAACACCGCCATCCAAAGCCTGTTCCGACTTGGGACATGGGAACCTAGGACTTAGGCCCATGGTGCTTCAAGCAAGATACCGGGGCAATCTCAAGAGTGATCCAACGTGTGTCAGATCCCCCCGGTATTGTACATAGTCAATACTACAGTATTGTATAACTGAACTTGTCAGATTGGGTCTGTATAGGTGCATATATCCTAGTAGAGAGGGTACTTCAATCCCTACGCACGTGATTAATCTATGGTCAATCCTAGCGCCGGTCCAGTCAGCAGGGGCTGTAGCAATCATCTCCAACTTCCATTAATTGGAACGCCATCTTAGTCTAGGGGGGCTCACCCACAACCATGACATCGACAGTGACAGAAGTCACAACCGATCAACAACACGCGGCAAGCGTTTCAGGCAATACTGGCAATAATGAATTTTCCGGTCCTAGAAGCAGACCGGCAGCCACCTTCGACGCGATAACCGATCATGCCAGCCTGCATGGAGAAGCCGAGTATCCCAGCGGCACGAAATTCTGGCTCCTCATGCTCACCCTAGCTGCCGTCCTAATCTTGAGCAGCATAGACATGAACATCGTCGCCACAGCCGTACCTAGCATAACAGACTACTTTCACACCGTTGCAGACGTCGGATGGTATTCCTCTGCCTTCAGACTCTGCCAGTGTTCCTTCCAGTTTGTTTTCGGCAAGGCGTACAAGCTCTTCTCTATCAAGACCGTCTTCTTACTTGCAAATGCCATCTCCATAGCAGGTTCGCTACTCTGCGGCGCCGCCAGTACATCGACTATGCTGGTCGTAGGTCGGGCTATAGCTGGTCTAGGATCCGCAGGCCTTCTCTCCGGGTGTTTCGTTATCCTCGTACAATCAACACCCTTACACAAACGACCCATGTTCACCGGCATGATGGGCGCCGTCGAAGGCCTAGCTACACTCTCCGCACCACTTCTCGGCGGAGCCATCGTGCAGTCCATTGGCTGGCGATGGTGTTTCTACATCAACGCGCCTCTCGGTGCCGCTACCCTAGCATTGACCATGTGCTGTTTCTCAGACCCACCAAAACCCAGCGCCATCGCCCGCATGGGCCTCAAACAAAAGATCATACAACTCGACCTAACAAGCAACCTCCTATTCATCCCAGCACTAACCTCCTTATTCCTAGCCTTTTCCTGGGCCGGCACCAAGTACTCCTGGACCAGCGGCCCAGTAATAGCTCCCCTGATCACCTTCACCATCCTCACAGCCGCCTTCATCTACAACCAAAAACGCCTCGGAGACGCCGCCGCCCTCCCCTTCCGCATCATGAAACGCCGCAGCGTCATCGCCGGCTGCATCTTCATCATGTGCGGCAACAGCACCGGCAACGTCCTCGAATACTACCTGCCCACTTACTATCAAATCGTACGTGGATACACCCCCGCCAAAAGCGGCTACATGATGCTCCCTATCATCATCGCCGGCACCGTTGGCGCACTCATCCACGGCTTTGGGACCAGCGCTATCGGCTACTACGCCCCGTTCATGCTTTTCGCGTCGCTCATGATGCCCGTCGCCGCGGGCCTCATCACCACTGTTAAGATCAATACTAGCTTCGCCGAACTGATCATATACACTGCTTTCTCTGGCTTAGCCTACGGTATTGGCTTCTCAGGTCCGCAGAACGCTGTCCAGACGGTGTTGCCCGTGGAGGACGTGCCGCTGGGTACGTCGATTATGCTTTTCGCTCAGTCGTTTGGTCCCGCTGTGGCGATTGCTGTTGCGCAGGTCTTGTTTGTGGATCAGCTCTCGGTGAATCTGAGGGGGCTTGTGTCTGGCATTGATGGGGCGGGTATCGAGAACAGTGGTTTATCACAGCTTGTGGCAGATATGTCGCCGGCTAAGACGAGGGATGTTCTCGTGGCGATTGATAGAAGTCTTATACAGACGTGGTATTTGGTGATTGGACTCGCATGTGCCACGATGATCGGGAGCTTGATGATTGAGTGGCGGTCGGTGAAATCGAGACGCGACTAGATATCATCCAGCAATACCTTACACAACACATTATACAAAAGGGAACCTTACACTCCCTCCTCACGAAGAAAAAATGCATCCCTCCCCGGATCCCCCACCCTCCCCACCTCCAACAACACCCTCCAAACCCAAACACCCAAATCCACCTTCCTAAACGCCCTCCCAAACCACTCCTTCCCATTCCTCGCAATACTCCCCGCCCTCTCCCTCCCCTCCTCACTAGACGTGAAATATCTCACCACCTCCGGTACCTCCTCCATCCCCAAACTAACAGGGATGTAATGTACCCACGGCCATAATCTCTCATCATGCCACTCCCTAAACAGGGTCTGCTTTACGGGAGCAGAATTCGACGCTAACAGACTATAAAACCTCCCGCTGATCCCATTCCCATCTAGATCGAATATCAGCCTTGATTGTAGACCCTGGTCTTTATCCGCCCAAGAGTGTGGATGGAAGAAGCGGCGTTGGGCGCGGCAGGAGGCGGGTGAGCAGTTGAAGATGCGGGTGAATGAGACGGTGTAGAGGCGGGTGTTGAGGAAGGTGGATTTTCGTGTGGAGGTTGAGGTTGGGGTTTGGTGGAGGTAGCTGTAGCTGTTGTGATGGTGTGAAGGGTTTGTGACTAGGCTGACGAAGCGTTGGCGGTGGAAGTTGTGCCAATCGTTGGTATTTATGGCGAAGGCGCCGGTTGTAGAACCGGCCCAATAGAGGGTGTTTTGTTTTTGATGCCATGGGATGTCTTTTTCGGGGGTGTATTGGAAGTCCGGTGCTAGGTAGGCCGGACTGGGGTAGAGGATGTCGGTCATGGTGGAGAGGGAGCCTGTGGAGAGGATTGGGAGGAGGCCTGTTATGGGGCGGAAGGAGGTTGGGCTGAGGAAGATGCCGTGCTTTGTGCTGTGTTCTGGGTGGAGGCAGAGTTCTTTGGCTTGTTTGGGATCGGTGATGAATGGGAGGTTGGGGGCTTGGGCTGGGGGTTGGTGGTCTTGGGTCTGGGTACTGTTGGGTTGGTAGGCGCAGGGAGCTGATATAGTATCCCATGTTGATTGCCCGGACTGGTCCTTTATGCTCGGACTACTGTGGATGTTGTTTGGTGGTGGGGGTATCACCCTTGGCTCATCGAGATGATTGACCAGGAAGGTGATGTCAGGCAGAGTAGCGGGTATATTCTCAAGTAAGGTGTCAAACATATGTTGAATATCCCGATCAAGCACGCGGAAATCATGCGAGCATTTTGTTTTGCGTGAGCTGCCGGAAAACGTACAGGTCCAAAGGTCATTACCGGGCAGGTTGCGTACGTTATTGATGTTTTCGTTGATCTCCTTTCCGCTTAGCTTCAATAACGGTAGTATACTTTCGTATATGGCATCATAATCATCAATTATTGGCGATTGATGAGCAGAGGCATATAGAAACCACTCCTCAAATCCAGGTGGTGGTTCGATATTGTAACGTCGGCGATACTCCTCGCATGCAGCTGTGTATGTGCGGGATTGTTTGTGGAGGGTTTCTTCGAAGTCGAGTCTGGCTTTATCCATCAATGCTGCGATGGGGTGGTTTTCGACTATTGTGTTGTTTGTGCCATATATAGTCCATATGTTTGCGATGTATGGGATTATCGCTGCAAGACCAAACGTCCACAAAATCCATCGCCCTTTTAGGTTACTTGGAAGCCCTTGGGTAAGTTGTGCAAGTACTAGTAATGAGGCGACAACGTTCAAAAACGCTTTAAAGTCTGATGACTGGTTGAACGGGCTACTGGCGGACAGAGTGCTGAAAATTTCGATCAAGATAGCTGCACTCCAAGAAGAATGGTATATCTCATAGCCGTCAGCAGAGTACCGTATATTGTGAAGCGTTGGGGCTTACTGTCTGAATTGTGAAGAAATAAGCAAAGGCCTTAATTGAGCCTGAAGCAAGTATGATAAGGGGATGTCCCCAGGAATAACCGAATATAATAATTTCCGCCACGACGGTCGCTGCCAACATTGGTAGAATTCTGGCAGCGAGGTGGAATGATGTCAACTCAACATTAATGCACCCAGGTAGGTCTCGTCCATGCTGTGACAGGATAAGGATGGAAATGCCCAGGACACAGACCAAGGGATTTAATGAGAGGCCCCATTCAACA